AAGCGGCTTATGTTGACAAAACAAGAAGAAATGAGACGGCAAGCTTATGGCATGCTCGTCTTGGACACGTTGGCTATCAGAAGCTCAAGGCGATGATGAAGAAGTCCATGCTCAAAGGACTTCCTCAACTTGATATCCGTGATGATATCGTATGTGCCGGATGCCAGTATGGGAAAGCTCATCAGCTACCCTATGAAGACTCAAAGTTCAAGTCTAAAATGCCTCTAGAGCTTGTCCATTCAGACGTGTTTGGACCAGTGAAGCAGGCCTCAATGTCTGGAATGAAGTACATGATTACATTCATTGATGATTTCTCAAGATATGTCTGGGTTGACTTCATGAAAGAGAAATCTGAGGCGTTTGATAAGTTCAAAATGTTCAAAGAACTTGTCGAAGTCGAAGTCTGTCAGAAGATCAGATGTCTTCGTACAGACAATGGAGGAGAGTACACTTCAATCGTATTCACACAATTTCTCAAGCAACACCGAATGCGACGCCAGTTGACCTGCCCAGGTACTCCGCAACAAAATGGAGTAGTAGAGAGGAAGAATCGTCACTTGGCAGAAATTTGCAGAAGCATGCTACATGCAAAGAATGTTCCTCCCAAGTTTTGGGCAGAATGCATGAAGACTGTTACTCATGTTGTCAACAGACTACCTCAGCCAAAGTTGGGGTTTGTATCACCCTATGAGAAATTGTGGAAGTTGAAGCCCAACGTAAGTCATTTTCGAGTATTTGGCTGTGTGTGTTATGTGTTCATACCAGACCATGCTCGAAGCAAGTTTGACAAAAAGGCGGTCCGATGCATTTTTGTGGGCTATGACAATCAAAGGAAAGGATGGAGATGTTGCGACCCAACAACAGGAAATTGTTATGTGTCACGCAATGTCGTAGTGTTTGATGAAGCATCATCCTGGTGGTCCCCAGAAGCAGTCCTACTTCCAGACTCAAAGGAGATGGAGGAGAGGTTGCTAGAGAGGTCTAGTGAAGAAGAGGTGAAAACAGCAGAAGTTGAACAAGGAGAAAGTTCTGCTGGAGCTCAAACTCGCTCTCCTGAAAAAGGCAAGAGTCCTTGGAAGACTAGAGTTCACCAGTCAGTCACAGAAGAAGAACGACCTAGTCAACTGGATCATATTGTTGATCCTCAACAAGAGCTCAGAAGATCGAAGAGGGCTAGAAAGCCAAATCCCAAATTTGCCAATGTAGCCATGATAGAAGATGTTGGCGTAAGAGAACCAACATCTTATGAAGAAGCGGCAAAACATGGTGAATGGAGAAACGCTATGAAAGAAGAGATTCAAGCTCTTGAGCAGAATCAAACATGGGAACTCGTACCAAAGCCTAAAGATGTTAAGCCCATATCCTGCAAATGGGTTTACAAAGTGAAGACAAAGTCAGATGGATCAATTGAGCGTTTCAAGGCTCGATTGGTGGCTCGTGGATTTTCTCAACAATATGGGCTGGATTATGACGAGACGTTTAGTCCAGTTGCTAAGATCACAACTGTCCGTGTTCTCTTAGCACTTGCAGCCAGTAAGTCTTGGAGAATGTGGCAGCTAGATGTGAAGAATGCTTTCTTACATGGAGAGCTTGATCGAGAAATTTACATGGAGCAACCTAGAGGGTTTGAGAGCATAAACACAGACTATGTCTGTAAGCTCAAGAAAGCCCTATATGGTCTGAAGCAGGCACCTCGAGCTTGGTACGGTAAGATTGGAGAATTTCTACTCCAATGCGGATACTCTGTCACTCCGTCAGATTCAAGTTTGTTTGTCAAGGAGCAAGATGGAAAATTAGCAATTGTGCTAGTTTATGTTGATGACTTGATCGTGACTGGAGATGATGAAGAAGAAATCAACCAAACTCGAACGAATCTATCCATAAGGTTCCAAATGAAGGAACTTGGAGAGCTGAAGCACTTTCTTGGACTTGAAGTCGAGAAAAGAGAAGATGGCTTATTTCTTAGTCAGCGGAGATATGCCATAGTGTTGCTAGAGAAGTTCGGGCTACAAGAGTGCAAGCCTACGACAACACCGATGGAGGCTAACGTTAAACTCAACTCACAAGAGGGAAAAGATTTAGAAGACATGACGATGTATAGACAACTTGTGGGAAGTTTAATCTACCTAACTCTGACTCGTCCCGACATTTCGTATGCAGTTGGAGTCGTTAGCCGTTTCATGCAGAATCCCAAGAAGGTTCACCTTGAGATCATCAAAAGAGTTTTGAGATATGTCAAGGGAACCATTGATCATGGGATAATTTACAAGAAGGGAGTAGAGTGCAAACTTAAAGGTTATTGTGATGCTGATTATGCTGGAGACCTAGACACTCGTCGCTCGACAACAGGATATGTGTTCACACTCGGTTCAGGAGCAGTATCGTGGTGCAGTAAAAGACAGCCAACCGTTTCGTTGTCAAGTACAGAGGCCGAATATAGAGCGGCAGCAATGGCATCACAAGAGTGCACTTGGCTAGTGCAACTTTTGAAGGACCTTCATCAAGAAGTTGATTACTCGGTTCCATTATATTGTGACAACATATCTGCTATCAAGTTAGCAGAGAATCCTGTGTTTCATGCTAGAACAAAGCATGTTGAAATTCATTATCATTTTCTCCGAGAGAAAGTGCTGAAGGAAGAGATAGAGATGAAAGCAGTGAAGACTGGAGATCAGATTGCAGATATTTTCACTAAAGCACTTCCGAGAGTCAAGTTTGAAGAGTTCAAAAGAGAACTTGGAATGATCAAGAAGAAGAATGTTGGTGACGCTGAGCTACGTGGTGAAGACACTACTCAAGCATGATACGAACACTACTTAGAGTAATGGTAAATTAAACTTTAAGGGGGAGTATTGAAAAATAAAGTTTAATAAACAAAAAAAAATGTATCATCACAACTAGTTAGAGTTGTGAAGTGTGTGGAATTATCTAGAGTGTGTATTATTGTGGGTAGTTATGGATTAAGAAAAGAAGAAAAAAGAAGAACCACAAATGGGTAGATATTTGTGGGGTTAAGTAGGTGTAAAGAGGTAGTTAAGTGTGGCAAAATATAAGCCATAATCTAGTGTTGGAACTTGGCTATAAATAGCCATGATTTGTGTATGGTTTCTTCATCCCAAGCAAAGCAAAGCAAATAAGAAAGAAAGTAGAGAGTATTTGAGCAATTGTGAGTTGTGGGAAGGTGAAGAAATAAGAGAGCTAGTGAGCATTTCGATCCAATTTTTCCAACAAGTCCTGGCATTCCAGGAATACCACGTTAAATCCTTGTGTCCGTTTCTGTGCGTTTGATTTTGTTATCAGTTTCTAACAAAGGATGAGTATTGTTTCCTTCAGAATACCTGCAATATTCATACAAATCACTCCAGATAAACCACAACAATGCTATCCATTGTGCCATGATCTCTTCCCCACATCTTTCCTGAGCTGTCGCTAACCAATCCCCACTGCTTCCTGCTGCGAGAACTCACGTTATCATCAATAGGAAGTGCGTCCCTTGCAAAATAAATATTGTTAGATGTCATTTTAGATATAGTTGCCACTTCAGAGCCTATGATTGCTTAAATGTGTGGATATTGGCAGTGATCCTTTGGAAAATAAATTTTCATATAAAACTAGCTTAGTGAAATTGTACAACATATGCTGTATTTTCGAAATCGATCTCATTTTGCACATCCATAATTGTCTTCCCTTATGAATTCCAAAGGCCCAAACTGAAAATTGGAAATATTAAAAAGAAAATTCATAGTCTACTCAAGTCTGTAATCACTCATTAACCTAACCCAACTCGAATTTGCATCGAAGTGGACGATAAGTGAGTAAGAGGTAGCCACTTTATCAGAACGTTTAGCCAGAACTGATCATCTTCTACTCAACTTCCAAAGAAGTCGCACTCAATTTATTTGTTTCATTCATAATAATTATTCAACAATAGCTTGTTGGGTATTATCATGAATCATGATGATATGAGATTTCATTAATTAAAATAAATTGATGAATTATCTCGAATAATGATGGAGACAAAAGTACGTAAGTCATATCCGCTAGTTTATTTGCTTCTGGAACTAGTTTTGATTCTACCAGTTGCAACTATAAGTGTAGAAATAACATTTTTAGCTTGAACGATACTAATATCAAGTTTCGAAGTCGAATTGACGATCAGTTTGCTAATGATTTTTTAATAAGATATATTGAAAAAAGCTTACTAAGGTCTAAGAGTATAGAGAACGGATGTATTTTGCATTGCTTTGAGAATATGAAAATTCGCCATGGTTGTGTATGCAAACATCAATTGTATTAATCGGTTATTTATTCATCTATAAATGAATTATTTGAATATTATTGATTTTAATTATATTAATTATAAATACAAAATAAGAATATGAAAATTCTTCATGGTTGTGTATGCAAACATCAATTGTATTAATCGGTTATTTTTTCATCTATAAATAAATCTTTTGAATATTATTGATTTTAATTATATATATTTATATATTGAAAAGACAACAAAGATAGTTTCAAATCCTACCTCCGCCACCGACTCACTGCCGCACTATATCGTTATTGATCACTTCGCACCATCAGAATTCAGATCGAGAAAGCCTCTGAATGATCAACCTCTATTTGTACTTGATACAGCAATTTAGCTTAGACCCATTTATACCCCTGTTCGTCCTCCATGGCTAATCTGCATCCCTACGGAAAACCGAATACGCCCTGCCCGAATGATCCTCCGGTAGAACAGAAGCAAAACGTTGCAGAGACCCAAAACTACGTGGCCAACACCACATCAGTATGTGTAAGCTGCAACAGAAGCTAGCTATCTATACACAGACAAATCTCCATGCAGAAGCTCTCCAAAAACCCCCCGCCACGTCCCAAAACCGAAACCCCCCTTCTCCTCCTTTCCGCACTGCTTTCCACTTCCCATCCCATCTATAAATACCCACCGCAATCCCCACTCCAATTTCATCCCATCGCACTACCAACACTTCTCAGCAAAGATGGCGTCCTCCGCTTCTCTGCTCTCCCTAGCGCTCTGCTCCCTCCTTCTCTTCCAAGTCTGCTCTGCCCAATTCGAAACCGGCCGAGTCTGGGGGTCATCAAGGTCCCAGAGGAAATCACAGCAGCAGAACGAGTGCCAGTTCCGCCGCATCAATGCCCAGGAGCCCGACCGCAGGATCACATCGGAGGCCGGCATCACCGAGATCTGGGACGAGAACGACGACCAGTTCCGGTGCGCCGGCGTCGCTGCCATCCGCCACACCATCGAGCAGCGAGGTCTCCTCCTTCCCGCTTACTCCAATGCCCCCAAGCTCATCTACGTTGACCAAGGCAAAAACCCAATTTCCCCTCTTCCTCTGTTTTTTAATGACTCTGTTTTTCATTTACTTGCTCTGTTTTTTTATGGACTCTGTTTTTCATTTACTTGCTCTGTTTTTCAAATGTGGAGTGCAGGGAGAGGGTATCACAGCGCAGCGATACCGGGCTGCCCCGAGACTTACCAATCCGAGCAGGAGTCTGAATCAAGGGATCCGAGGCAAGGATCGAGAGATCAACATCAGAAGATCCGGAAGATCCGACAAGGCGATATAATTGCCATCCCAGCTGGAGTTGCGGACTGGTTCTACAACGACGGTCAGTCTCCTCTGGTTCTTGTCCAGATCATGGACACTAGCAACTTCGCCAACCAGCTCGACCAGAACTTCAGGGTAATTCATTCGTTCATTCGAGTAAAATTTCAATTTCATTCCGCCAATTGATTCATCATTAGTCACTGACGATTTGATTTTTCTTTCGATTGGGTGGGCTTTCAGAAATTCTTCCTGGCAGGGAACCCGCAGAGAGAAATCCAAGGGCAGAGGGGACAGCCTTCGAGGCACCTGTACCGTGGAAGCGAGAAGGGAAGAGGCGGCGGCGGCGGCCAGGAGCAACGGTCCGGCAACATCTTCCAGGCCTTCGACGAGCAGTTCTTGGCCGAGGCTTTCAACATCGACACCGACCTGGCGAGGAGGATCAAGAACGAGAACGACAACAGGGGAATCATCGTCAGGGTCGAGGAGCAGCTGGAATTCCTGAGCCCCGAGTTCAGCGAGGAAGAGAGGAGGCAATCGTCCCAGGGCGGCGGAAGAACCGGCCGCTGGTCTGCTAACGGAATCGAGGAAACCTTCTGTACCGCCAAGTTGAGGCACAACATCAACGACCCTTCACGCGCCGACATATTCAACCCACGCGCCGGCCGCCTCACCACCGTCAACAGCTTCAACCTCCCCATCCTCCGATACATTCAGCTCAGCGCCCAAAAGGGCTTCCTCTACAGGGTAATTAATCCGCTACTAGTCAATCATCTTCCTTCCTTCCTCTCTTTCTTTTCAAGTTGGTGATTGATTCAAATGTTGGTGCTGCAGAACGCGATCATGACGCCGCACTGGAACATGAACGCGCACAGCATCAACTACATCACCAGGGGCAGCGGGCAGATCCAGATCGTGAACGAGAACGGGGAGAGCGTGTTCGACGGGCAGGTGCAGGAAGGGCAGATCATCACCGCGCCGCAGAACTTCGCGGTGATCAAGAGGGCCGGCAGCGACGGGCTCGAGTGGATCTCCTTCAAGACCAATGACAACGCCAAGATTAACCAGATCGCCGGCAGAGCGTCGACGATCCGGGCGATTCCCCAGGATGTGCTCGCGAATGCGTTCGCGATTTCGAGGGAAGAAGCGCAGAGGATCAAGTTTAACAGGCGGGAGATTGGGATCTTCAGCCCTGAGACCAGGTCGCGTGGAAGGAGGGACTGATTTTGTGTCTGCTTATGTAATCGTAAATGACAAATAAGATAAGTAATCCATCAGTAGTGTACTAATAATAATAAACCTACGAACTTTACGGTTGGGTCGTCAGGGAGAGGCAGGTTGGTTAGTACTTCTACTTCCTTTCCGCCTCTTTGTATTTTCGCGGGAAACAAACAGCTTTGGTCATGAGTTTAAATAAATAAAAATTATGCTTCTATCTAGAACTCTCTTTTTTTTTTTCGATAACTAATTAGTCAATTCTCTTATTAAGCTCACTTGTAGTAAAGCAGGCATAAGAAAACTACCAATTAGTCAAAAGCAAAGCACATTGGCTACATTATACATATATGAGTATAACTACCCAAGCTTGCTAAAACATTTTCAAGAATCGGATAAAAAACAAAGAAAAATTAAAATCATAATCAGACCAAAAACATGTGTTGGCTTATTTGGTTTGATTTAATCCGATCAAAATTAAATTTTGATCCATTTTTCTATCATGCTTAAAATATTAGAAAAAATCCCACTGTACACATGTTCTTAAAAAAAATTCCCAAAATACATAAGTTATAAAAAAATTCCCAAAATACACATGTTTGGCATTCACCGTTTTATACAAACGCAGTGAAGATTATCACCGAATTTGACGAACACGGGGAACATTTCACCGTTTTAAAAAAAAACGGCGACGTATTCACCGTCGTCCTCTAAAATGGTGAATAACGAGCGAGCCAATCGCCGTTTTAGAGGGAAATGGTGAAATCATCACCGTTTTACTTAAACGCAGTGAAAAGTAAACCGTTTCTGTTGGTCACGATGAAGCGACGCGGATCGCTGACGTGGACAAACGCGGTGTATTCACCGTGTTAGACAAACACGGTGAATACCTCATGTTTGTTTGCGTCAGCGATCCGCGTCGCTGACCCATTCACCGTGGCCGTTGGATGCGGTGAGGCGTGGATCGTTGTTTTCTTCTCAGATCCGACGCCTCACAGCGGTGAAGGCTTCGTTTTTCTCAAAAACGGTGGCAGACGTGGATCGAGCGATGTGGCGTGCTGTGAGGCGTCGGATCTGGGAAGAAAACCACGATCCGCGCCTCACAACACGCCACGTCGCTCGATCCGCGTCTGTCACCGCTTTTGAGAAAAATGAAGCCTTCACCGTCGCAGTGAATGCTCCCCAAAAAATTTCGAGGAACCCTTCCCCCACTATAAATAGAACCTTTCCCCCAACTTACAAATCACACCACAACAATTACAATTCTTTCTCCCTAAATTTATCCGCTCTAGTCTCATTCTAAGTATGCTCTGTGGTTGCGGCTAAGTCCGATCTTCCACATCAAAAAGAATTACTAGAGTTTGACCCTAAAGCCCCCGTCTCGTCCCTAAAGCTCCCGTCCCTTACAAACCCGTCGAACCTCTGTCCGACTTCCGCCAAATAATAGACGAAGAGGCTCTTCGGGTAGGTTTTTTATTTTTATTTTTGTGATTTTTTTTAATCGAAACAATTGGACTTTGTGATTTTTTTTTTTATCAAAACAATCTGATTTGATTACTTTTTTATAGATGGGTGCCGAGATATACGATCCTCAAATGTATATTCATTATGGGCCAAGAGATATGAGACTCTTAACCGATCAAGAAGCGCATCGCTCCCGTGCTATTTGTGATAACAATCCGGTAATTTGATGATTTATTAGCTTTATTTTATTATTTTCTAAGGTTTTATTTTGCTTTATTTAAACTAACAAATTGATGTTTTTCCTATTTTTTTTTTTTTTGTAGGAATCACTTATTCCCGTGGTTCATAAAGGGACTACAAACTTGCCCGCTTGGCATCCAAGGTTGGCGCCCTATATAGAGAGGACTCTCTCCACCATCGGTCTCGTCCCTCTCTCGCTCCTCATCTTAGTAGTCTCTGCCACAAAACCCTAGATCCACCCCCATCATAGTTCGTCGGTTTTCTTTCGATTCCTCTCATCCTCTCCCCACCTCCCAGAGGCAAAGCAGGGGATTGAAACTGGAGGAGAAGCGCCGGAGTACGAGGTCGCGTCCGCATCCACGGCCGCGCAACCAGAAGCAACGAAGTGGCCGGGATGGCCAGGACATAACGTGTTCAGGCTTATAGTTCCAGTACTGAAAGTAGGTAGCATTATCAGAAAAGGGCGAGATGATTAAAAAGATGTGCGAGGAAACTCGAGCACGAATCCGCATGCTCGAAGGCCCGCTCAGTATTCTCGATCGAATCGTCAGTATTTCTTTTCTTGAACTTCCAATCCGCTTCTTGTTTGCTGAGTTTGCTCTTTCTTTATTGTAGTTTGCGATCTAAAGTTTTGAGCTTTGATTGGTTTTCTTCATCCAATTGTGAATTGAGATTTGCTCATAGTATGCAAACCCTAGTTCCTAGTTGTATTGTTCTGTTGTGGAATTGTCGAGTTGTCGAGTTAAAGCTATTGTTATGAAGTTAATATATTAGAAAGTGGAACCTGATGTCGTGAAAGAAGGAATAGTGAGTTATCATTTTATTTATGCAAGCAAACTGCACTCTGTTATGTGCCACATCACATTGCATTTTCTGGAAACCTGACTATAAGTATTGATTTGGGAGAACGTCTCTGCTTAATCCATTAAGTTCATTATGCTAAACTAAGAGCATGTAACTTTCATTATAACCTGAAATATACTTCTTGTGTTTCTATGAACAGGTGGCTGATGTAGGCTTCTTAAGAGTAGAGACTCCCAAGTTTGAATCTCATTATATTGATAATCTTGTTGGTAATAAAACATAATTTTTGATGAATATACTCATTGTGCTTTCTAATTGTGCTGAGGGTAATGAAGTTCCCAATTGGCTGCAGGTGACGAGAAGGATTGCTATGAAAGGTCTCCGATCAAATTTGTCGATCACTTTTCCTGTCCTATAATCTAATTCCAAGGCTTGGATGATAAGGTGTGTTTCCAAATTCCTTCCAAATTTTTTTTGGTTTGCTCCAAAATTGTCATGAACTGGCAATAAGTTAATGCTCGAAGAGGTCAAAGCCTATTTCCCAATTTGAGATCGCTTGGGAACTTCAAATTGCTGAAGGATTTTACATTAGAGGCAAACTACAAGACTAGACAGGTGTTATATCCCTTTTTGTCTGGAGGGATTCTTTTCCGAATTTCTTTATGAGAAACACACATTTATTCAAGAGATATAAGATTTTTCCTGTGTCCTAGGTTTGAGCCCTTGGAATATGCTCCATCTGATACTATCTAATGCAGATAGTGAACCCTGACCAAGCTCGCAAAATCTATGAGGCATTGAAGAAAAAGGGTCTGCAGTTGGCCTTGTGGAGTATGAAGGGGAACAACATGGTTTCCGCAAGGTATGAAGATCCAATTTTTTGTTTCTTCTAGTCACAATAATTATCTTAGTTCGAAAGAGACTAAAATTAATATATATTGGGGTTGCATAGAGGCGGAGAATATTAAGTTCCCAGCAATTTATGAAAAATTTCTGGCATACGAAAGAACTTTCAGAACCTGAAGCTGGGAACATGGTTTACATTTTGACATGAATTTTCATATATCAGGCCGTGAGATTGTTCAGAAAGTCATGAAGAAAAAGGTGAAGTATGGACCGAAGGAGAACCCAAGATTCGCAAAGGAGTTAGAAGGTTTTGTGTCATGGTGGACAACTTAGAGTGTTTGGTTATGCTGAACAAGGAGTTAGAATGTTATGAAAATGGTTGTAATGTTTTGGATCTTTGGTACTCTTTTCATTATCAGATTGCAATACAGGAAACAATTTCAAATTTTGAAAATTTTGAAGCAGTTCAAATGTGAAAGCAATGTCATTTTGTCACATTATGTACATTGCCTGACAAATTGTTCTCATGTCATATTAGACATGAGACAAATAAACAACCTTTCGCGACAACTAATACTCGTCATAATATGCAGTTATGACAAAATATATTCATCATAATATTCAGTCTTGACAAAATAATGTTGTCACAATAAACACTTGTGACAAAATGTAGTCGTCACAATATACAGTTATGACAAAATATAATCGTGTAATATGACGAACAATTCTCCCAAAATCACCATATTATGACAACCGTAATGACAAAATATATCGTCATAACATCTCTGTTTGTCACAATAGCCTACCCAGAACATCAACTACACTAAAAGCAAATGTGACAACCTTGTTTTAAATTTTTTGTCACATTTGACCTATCCTAACGGCGATAAAATGACAAAACTTTGTGACAACACCTCTTGTCATATTATACCTAATATGAAAAAATGAGTATCTAATATGAAAAAAATTTCTCGTCATAATAGGCCGAATTTGTTGTAAATGGAGCATAAGGAATCAGAAATGGTGTGTACAATCCAAACGATTGCACCTTCAATTTGGTTTGCTTACACTCCACGCATCTTGCACACAGATTCTCCACGTCTCCCTTCATGTGAGGCCAATAAAAATGCTCTTGTAGACAACTCAACGTCTTGTCTACACCAAAATGCACCATGAGACCTCCTCTATGATCTTCCTTCAACAATAACTCTCGAAGTGATGCACGTGGAATACATAACTAATTAACTTGAAACAAATAGCCTTCACTTCGACAATACTTGCCATCTCCATGCTTCTCACAAGCCTTATAGAGTTCTCTAAAGTCAGCATCATCATCATAAAGCTCCTTAAAATACTCGAATCCAAAATACCTTGCATCCATCATGGTGATCAATGTATGCCTTCGAGATAGGGCATCATCAACTACATTCTCCTTGCCCTGCTTATACTTGATCACGTATGGGAATGATTCAATGAATTCCACCCATCGAACATGCCTCTTATTGAGCTTGTGTTGAGCCTTCAAATACTTGAGAGACTCGTGACCAGTATGTATCACAAACTCCACTGACCATAGATAATGCTGCCAAGTCTCCAACGCTAGTACCAATGCATACAGCTTCTTATCGTATGTAGGATAGTTGAGGGCAACCCCA